TGGTAGTCATAAATACATTGCACCCAACAGGCCTTGGTTGTTGCAGAAATACTACGGAAGCAGAGGTAACGAGGGACGTAAAGTTCATGTTCCTCCTTATACGTACTTCCTTAGTAATGCTCTTCTCGCTATGCTTCGCTCAAGAGGCTGTATTGGTATTGATGTATCTGTACCACTTCGCTACTATGCCTACTGCCGCAGCCCCCGTGTGGATGCAGCAAGCGGTCTTCTATGCTGCTGTAGCATTCTTCCCCATTGCGTTACTCAAGCAGGTAACTGGGGTGCATGCCGTCATTGTGAGAGAAGTGTCACCCTGTTAGGTCATCAATGTCATCCAATTGTTTGATGCTGGTCACGAGATTGTTAAGATCGATGAAGCCAATCGTGGCGAGAAAGTTGAGTAGAAGGAGAGTACCATCCTTCAGTTCATAATACCCTATGTATCAATACACTCGCAGTGTTCTATTTAGCTTTTCTCTCAATCCCCTATATTTTTGAGTATGCGACGCCGCAAGCCTAATGGAGAATGTAAACTTGAATATTTCTCGCGATAATAGTAGCAAGTTAGTTCGGGTCTCTTGTAATCGACGGGGTGAATGCTCGTGTGGTTGGACGTGGGATTTGAGAAGTCCCTAGGTAGTGTATGTCGTGTTTGCTAAACTTCAGAGGTTTTATCCTCATGAGTGCTACTCTTTTGGATCTCGACGATGTCCTCACTTCTGATAGGCTTGAGAATAGTACCACTGTAGCTAACGAGAAGAAGCAGATGGTCATAGGGGTAAAACTGAAGTCCACTTAGAGGGATGTGAAGTCGTCATCCTTGATCAGGTGGACGGCGGCTCTTCCCAGCCTCTAGTCGTTAAAGGTGGAGAACTCAATGAAAAGTGCTTTGGTAAGTTCGTGGTCGTATTCTTGAGCCACTCGAGTTGGGGTGATAGTGTTGGTCGTATTATTTGATCTCCTTAGTTGGTCGAGAGGAAGAGCCGTCCTCATTGGCGACGGAAGGCATGAC